GTCGCTTCATGCTACAGAAACAGGGATAAGCTCCGGCCTGATGGGCCACTTGGCTCGTATGCAGACTTTACCTTTTACCATCTGTGTCTGACTGAAGTATTGTAAGTGTTTTGGTATGGAGAGTATTTCACCTTCTGTCATGATCTACCAAAGCGTTGACAGAAACTCTTTTATTGATACAAGTATTTCAAATGCTTTCTTTTGAGTACCTTGGGCAATTTAATCCCCATCTCCCTAAGATGTATTACCTCCTCTTCGCCAAACATCGATTTCCTATTTTCAAGCTGAGACTGACTACACATGCATGTCCCTGTACATCCACAGTTTATCTCATACTAACTACTTTTGACTGTCATGGTGGGTTTGCTGAGAAATAGAACACGTTCAAGTCTGAAATCCAAAATGTCAGTTTCCACGTGAATACTTTTTTCAGAATGATGGCCTGAAGTGCAAGCATGTTTTAGCGAGTGAGCTATTTCGATCGGGCATATGCCATTTTGGATACTGAAAGCAGGAGAGACTGGGGGAGAGAGAGCAAAAAAAGTCCCCTAGTGGACAGGAGTGAGGCTGAATGACGAATGCCGCGGAAGGGGGAGGAGGAGGGGACGTTTTCTGGTCTCAAGATAGCTACCAGATATCCGAACAAATTATCCGGCAGTCACCAAACAAAGACATTCACACTGCAAGCTGGGCTATCAGAATGATGGCGATGTGCACCTTTCGTGAACTGAAAGTTTCGTTGTTTTTACCATTACAGACTATTACTCTGTGGACCCCGGAGACAAATGAACTGAGAAAAACTCTTGCCCTACCCTATCCTGACGAAGAAATCAAGTAAGACATGTTATATCACTTGTGTCATGTCTTCTTTGCGTAAGCTAAGACACTGACAGATATTTTATGTTGTAGATATGATAATTTGCACAGGAGTAGTTTTATTTATTTCCTTTTTATTGTATGTCTGATTTATTGTGTTTTTTTATTTTTGTTTGTTTTTTTTTTCATTTGCGCGCACTGCAGTGCAAATTAACACCGGCGTGTTTTCTGATTTTCTCAGTCATATAACAAATAAGTAGTCGTTTGAAAGTTCGAGTAATTAAGGTCTTGCACTTCTTGTGATATCTGAAAATTCTTTCGAATTGCACTTGTATAAAGGCTCGTTCAGATTTGAGAGAGTTTTCGAATATCACTCGTTGTGTAAATCGTTAATTACACTCGCATTCATACGATTACCTATATATATTTCTGCGCAATACGTTCGAGTGTGCTATGGCCCTTTCGAAGCTCAGAGCAGTTTCCTGTACTTCTCTGAGTCAAACAGGTGCCTAAAGAAACAGTTTTCCACATGGTCGCTAGGTTGGATTGATTTTATACCATCCTTGCATTACCCAGGAAAAGAACACATACATGTATAAGTAAGTTTAATAATCGAGCGCGCGGGGGAGGGCAGGGGTCAGAAATGATCGGTTTTTCGTAGTATATGTTTCAGTCTCTCAGAAGTCTCAGAAGGATCCTGTCTCTCTTGGAGAACCACGTAATATTACCCCTTAAATAGCCGGTCTATACCTACTGAATAAGGTTTCTCAGGCTTACGGCAATGAATCAGCAGATCTTCACTACCATCCATTGCGACACGGTCAATGTGCAGTGCTTGAATGAGTCGATATTCACTTGCCTGTGATTGAACACGACCAAACCTATATATCCCTTATTGTTTCAGTACTCTTTCATAAAGCAGGGGGAGGGGAGGGGCGCTTATTTGAGTGGAGGCGCTTGTTTTAAATTTTGGCTGATAGGAGGGGCGCTTATTCGGAGGGGGAGCTTATTTAAGGGGAGGCCCTAATTCGAAGATTTACGGTATTGTAGTACCGGATGCAAGAGCGGTTAATATACATGTATACGTTTGCAAACGTATGTTAACTGACTTACATGTGCTACAATATTAGCATGAAGCGTTAACTTTTAGGAGTAAACAGTCTACATGGAAAAGAACAGCGGCTTTTTTGTTTAGTTTTGGACTGAAGCAAGATCAGTTTATCTTTCAACTTCGTTAACAAGTTCAAAAAACTGTGTTATTTATATTTAATTTTGTTTCACGTTGGGTAATGCTTTTCTTGTTCGTACCGGAATCACGTCTCTGTTTTTCTGGCTTGTTTAGGAAAATCAAGTTCGGCAACAACAGCTCTTCTCAATACTTGATCTCCATCACTAATCAATATCTCACTGTGTGGAATCTTCTTTCGTGTACTGGTAAGGTGAAAGTAATTGTGTTTCTCTAAGAGCCTGCTTTCAAGCATCTGGGACGTAAGGTGTACTCCTTATTAGCTCAATCCATTAGCTTTTCAGCTCAACAGAGCACAGGAAGAGTGTTTTGGGGACTGTTCGTTCAAATACTGTCAAAGTAGAATAAATTTATTTATTTTTTTGGTTTTCTTTCGCTACTACGTTTGAAGCAGTCAGGCGCACAGACGGACGGACGGAAAGGCAGTCAGTCAGACAGACTCAGAGACAGACAGACAGCCAAGAAGATAGATACATATACAGACAGGTAGACAGACAGACAGACTGACAGACAGACATCTCTGTTGTTGTTAATGCTAACTATGCTATTTTTCTTCTTTTTAGTTTGGTGGAGTGTTGAAGCGCCTGTGACGTGTTTGGCCTCTGATCCACAAACAAATCTAATCTGCGTGTTTGTTTCATTTAACAAGAACAGGTCACACTGTAAGTAATGTGCCGAGTTGTTTAATGATAATTCTGCTGTTGTGTGGCCCAGTACCATGGCTGCCCTTAATACTGGTGGTTTTCCATGTTCTTTTGTAAGCTCTTCACGATGTGAAAAACTCAACAAAGCATACACAAGGCTCCTTTTATGTACGTTTTCATTTTCAGAAGCAGTCTGCGAGACCGAGAAATTAAAAGTTACATTGAAATTAATTGTGTGCGGTTGTAGTTGTTAAGTCATTGCGTGGGAAGTTTGCAGAACCAACAGGGGGATGTTAAGAAGTCGTGGTTTTTATGATTGGCCTAGAGCAAGTTTGGAAAACCAACACCGAAATATCAGCCACTTCCGTGTGCTCGTGATTTGTTAAGACGTTTGGATAAGCAACTGATAAATGTCAAACGTTGTGCATGCAGTTGTCTGTTCTTTAATTGGCTGAAATGTTTTCAAGACAAACACAAAAGATTTCAAAAATAATACTTACATGTGTGTGGTTTTCGTAAGCCTACCATGTTTTTCGGGAACGACTAAGCAGCCCCGCCTTGTTTCTGCGTATCTCCGCTGTCCAAAGTAATCACTGGCGCACTAAACTTTGAACTTGACAAATATTTGCTGTGCCACCTACACGATCAAATACATTTGTCACATAAAAATTGCTGGTGTAGACTGGGCTTTACGGTCAATCGTCGTGTATCAGTGCATAAAACGGACCGCTGTAAGTAGTTTTAAATGTAACAAACAACAGTTATTGCTATATAACATTTTCTTCGGGGTTCGGTTTCTTTCAGTGTACGTTTTTGACCCAGCCTCCCCTCGTCCTGTAGCGGTGCAGTCCAAAGTGTCTAAGAAGTCAGATGTGTTGTCAGCAGCATTCGATTCTGGTTACTTGTCTTGTACCAGCACAACAGACCATCCCATTAAAATGTCCAAACTGTATTTCTTGAATCACAACCAGGTAAGATTATTTGTTTCGAAACAACTAGACTATATACAATACACCAACGGCCAACTTGCAATTTACAAGATCTGACAAAACCTACGACATACATGTACTGTATTAAGAAATTAATTTTTGTGTGCAAAAGACGTGTGGCAGAATTTTGTTTATACCTCTAGTTTAACGCTACTCGCGACTGCAAGACTGGTTGCATGAAACATTGCCTCGTTATTCCTTGCTGTTGATTCAGATTTTGACAAGAGATGCCTATCTTTTTGTTTTGAAGTGTTTTTTTCTTTCCCATCATGATCTTGTGGCCCTATCGAAGCCTACTGCAGTTAATATATACTGTTTGTGGGTCAAACTGGCGCCAAGAGAAACATTTTCCAAAGGTCGTTGAGTAGTTTTGTCCAGTGACTTCTCAGCATTACCCAGGAACATGACATATCAACATTATTATATTCTTCTCTTTAACCCATGTTGTTTGAGCCACTACTTACAGTAGTAACTTTAGGATCGCTTTTAATGGACTATGTTGACGGTGTCACGCTTTTCCGATTTTTCATTCAAACGAAACTTAAACTGTGCCGCTAGATTTATCGTGCCAATTTTAGTGAATAGGCGAATTTCGCAAGAATCTGTTTCAAACTCATATAAATATGGGACCCCAAATGTGCCAAAGAGATGTATGCTTTGCTTTGTGAAAAGTGGCAAGTTTAATTAGCATGTAACGGATTCCTGTGAAATCTCGCATATGTACTAAATTCGGCACGATAAATTTCTTTGTGGGGGTGGTATTTGGCCTATATATTGCTGATTTTGTGTGACATCGTCGACGCGGTCCATAGCGTGGCATGGTACACTGAATGTTTGCCTCATTTCAGGAACTGTTCACTTTGGATTGTGGTGAACCTGGAGAGGAAGAGAGCCAGGCCATGTCACGGGTGAGCGACATTTCATTTCATACATTGCGTTAGGTTTGTTTTCTGCATCAGTGCAATGTTGGTTGGAGCACAGTTAGTAGAGGAGACTACTAACTGTGGTTGGAGTTTTCACAGAGTGACTCTTGCTTACTAGACAATTTAAACGGGAGTTGTACTGATGTCTTGGCCTGTTCATCTTGCAAACCTTTGGTGAGAAAATATCGCACCATGGTCCCCACCTGAGTGTGACTATGCCTCTGTAGGGAAACAAGTGCGTGGCATTTACTGCACACTTGGTTTAGTCCAATGAATGTCACCGAAATCTATCCAACTAACCAATGAATGAGAAGCCTTTGTTTTGTAGGAAACTTACTTAGTAGTTCTGTTGCAGGAATCCATTATTGGCCCGCTTGAAGAGCAGACTGAATTTTTCAAGATCTTTGGACAGCCTGCAAAAAGTAGTAAGTACTAGGAACTGCCGTCTTTCGCCAGATGAACTTTGTTCCAAACGTTTTCCCCTTACTCCTTCACGCATTGATGCCAAGGTAAACCTTTGATAACTGTTTCAGAGGGTGAATCGACATCGGAGCAGAGCGTTGGAAGAAGTGTCAAAGGGACTCCATCTAGCGCTGTGGTCAGACAGGTGAGGTCTTTTACAGATCGATATCTACTTTCCCCTTATCTTATGGATACGTTGTCGGGTCGACAGGTGAGGAGAATAAAGAAGTTTATCAACTAGGTGATATCGACTGGATGTACCGCAAAATACTTAGAACTAACGTGTAAAAATGCCTCTCAGTCAGAAACGAGTATAAGGGATTGAAGCGCGAGGCTTGCAAGCAAGGATGACAGCAGTTTTGAGCAGAAAAATTTTAGCATTGTTTTCTGTTGTCTTGAGTGAGGTTTGGCTACCCGATGGTTAGTGTGCAAGGCTTGGTATCAAGGGAGTGATCCGGGTTTGTGCCTTGGCAAGCTTTATTGTGTTGTGTTCGTTAAGCGAGACACTTGACAGAGATTGTCTCTCCTTCCAGGGCTTTAAATATGTATCGACAACATCAGAGGCATCAGAGCAACCTGACAAAATGATGGGGGGAAGGGGTGGGGGGTAACCCGCGACGGACTAACCCCATCCCGTCCAGGTATAGTGTAAGTCTGCCGTCGATCCTGGTGGCTTATCGGGCTGGTCTTAACATGAACCGAATTTCTCAATCCGGCGTCCTACATATCCGCCCTCAGGCTACTTTGTACCTCCCACCCTCCTTTAACAGTAATCCACCTTTATGGTTCATCAACCGCGGGAGCGAGAACCGTAGACATTAGCAGAAAGCACAAATAGTAAAGTTTTTTAACTGATAATAGCTTGAAGCTGTATTTGTTCCTTTTCGCAGATGTTGCAGACTCCCTCGCATGTTCTACCTTCAGTTACTTCTCTGTGCTCATCGTTCCTGAAGTCGTTGCTGGTCAGCAAACAAACCTCTCAAAGGTACCAGTAACTTGTGGTCTCCTTCGCAGCCGTTATCGAGCTGATCACGCAACGCTTCAAGAGATTTGTTGCGTTGCTAAATTGTCTTGCTCATTTGACAGTGTATTTAATTTCGAGTGGTTTTAACTTTTCGATTTTTTAGGAACGATCAAGTTGACGACGAAGATGATGCAAGTGAAAAGGAAGGTACGTGTTCAGTTTTGCAAGCTTGATCATTCTCTTAGGACCCTTCACACAACTTCCTCGAGTCTGAGAATTCAGTGAAAGTGTTTTTCACAGGCTATTTACAGCGACGTGAAACAAAAGAATGAACCACGGCGGGTTTTGGCTTGCTAGTCTTAGTATCCTCAGTTGTTTAAAAAGCACTTTTCGTTTCAACTGTTCGAGTTACAGTGTTTCCCTTTTAAATATCTCCCTCAAGTCGAGGAATGATATTTAAAGAGGAAAACAGTGAAGCTTAAACTCTTTGTAATCGCTTTAAAACGGCCTGATAGAACTCTACAGCAACAAAAGAAATACTTAAAAGGAAACGAGGAAAAGCGTTTTGTGGTGTACTTCTTGTCGTTTTCCTTCATTCCCATGCAAAGTACTTTACTTTCGTTGTTTAGCAATATAACGACCCTCGCGCAATGAGCTGGGGATATCTGTGTGTAAGCGATGTAAACTTAAAATCTCTTTTACACATTTGTGCTTTACAGATGAAAGTATGGAAGAACAAGGCGACAGCGATTTGGAAACGCGCGTTGCCGGTGGAGCTTCAGCACAACCTGTTGTTAACTCGTCTGTAGAAATGTTAGACACTGATGTTTCGCAGAAGCCTCAACTTAATACTGGACAAAGATCTCACTTGGACAATGTGAATTTCAACTGGCTTCAAGACTATTTCGCATCTTCTTGAGTTATTAAGCTTTCTGGAATCTTTGTTCCCGTTAGTAAGATGATCGAATCGTTTAATATTCTATTTGAATCAACTAGTTTCCAGGCGTTCTCCTCCCGCTAATACTCACTCGTTTCCAATCTCTTGGTACTTGTAGAAGAGAGGAACGAGCGTAGACTAGGCTTAAGGTGCAAATCAAATCTTACAAACTCAAATCAAATTTACAAACTCTTAAATGTAAATAAAATCTTTCTCTTTCTCTTTCTTTGTTGTTGTCTCATTGTGGGTGTTAAATCCATAAGTAGTCTAGTTGTAAACAGATATTAATTAAGATCCCTTTATGTCTGATGAGGATAAAAACTTTCGTGGCTCTTGAGTTTTGGATTTTGGAATTTGATGACGTCACGTGAAAACGATCTATCGCAATAGAATGGTAAAATGAATGTCCTAAAAAGTTAAAACAAGAGTAAATTCTGCCATAAAACTCTTTCCTGAATAGTTGTTTTTTCAACTACAAGTGTTAACAGTCCAGAAAGTTTCTCTCTGCAACAACACATAAAATGTCGATTATATCTTACAAAGTTAAACCGGAAGTGTTTGATCGCCTTTTTTAAACCCGGAAGTTGTTCTTGTACTTGTAGACTTGTCTTTCGCCACTCAACAGCAGTTTAGTATCTGGTTATTTAAAAACATACCGAAACACTGCGATCGCGAGCATCGCTACAACAAGGGCAAGTAGAAATCTTTCCAGTCTGAGACTCATAAAGTAAGAGAAAGCTCCAGTTAATCCACTTGTTGGATTGTTTCGAGATGCCTGCTCAACTGCAGCGCTTGTGTAGTCCTCAGACACTGACAGAGTCCTGTACAACACTCGAACTTCTGTCTCCCTTAGTCCGTTCTCTCTAACCGCTATTTCTCTGGCAAATCGTTTAGCAAACTCTAAACAGTCGTCAATGATCAACCGATACCGCGGTGGAACTACAGTAAGGCAGAGCAACTGAAGATAGAAGTACGCCATGGCAGTCTCGCCAACATAGAAACTCCGGGATTTCTGCAACCAGATCATGTAGTACATATTACGAGCCAAAATATACTTAGTGCTGGAGTCATCCAGGCAAACGTGATATTGCTGTAGTGGTATGGTGGTAGCCATTCTTTTAGCAGCTTCGCTGTCCTCCCTGAATGTGAGAGCAGGCCCATCTATCATCTGTCCCCAAACAGGCGGAAATAAAAGAGTATCGAACAGTTCTTTATCAACAACAACGATCGATGCATGGCCTTTGAATATTGTGATGAAAACATATTTATCTTTTTCTGGCGACATCTCTCTTTTGGCTGCTTCTAAATCGAAGACACTTTTACCTTGTCTTCGCAAATGCTGAGCAATCTTAACCATGTTTTCCTCAAACAGACTCTTGTCAATGTTTTCTCCGAACAACACTTCCTCGTGTTGACTGTCCGCCATTTTGGAACCTGTAGACCGGAAGTAACATGAAAGCGAGACCATCTGCCCTTCGTGGCGTAAGGACCTTACGTGCAAGGAAAAACGTTCTGTATATTTTCAGTGAACATTAACTAGTATTAGTTGTTATTTTCATATTAAATGCTGACCAGTTATTTTGAACCTCGCTATTTCAAATATTTTTTTTCTTTTGCTCCCGGGTAACCCGAAAATACTGACCCCCGGTCTGCGGACCCCGACAACGGACCGGGTCCGCGGACTACCCTACGGACCGGTCCATGGGCTACCCCTACGGACCCCCTCTACGGACCACCCTAAAATAGTGTAAAAATAATAAATAAAGATTTCACTTATGGGTTGTCTAATAGATTCAGACTCGTGTCGGTGATTTTTCGAGTGTTACACTGTGCAAACGTGACAGACTTGGGTTTTTAACACCCCATCCCCCCTCCCCCCCAAAAAATGCCTAAAAGCTATTTTCAGCGTAAGGAGATGCCGATGGCAAGAGGGAAAGGTCTTACCTTCCATTCGTAGCTCAATCTGGCCATGGAAGATATAGTTTTAGGCTGTTTATTCTTAGTTGTATCTGTTATTCCGCTGAGCAAATTGTGAAGCCTGGAACGAGTTCACGAACCCACGGGAGAATGGGCTGAACAAGATGGCAGAGGCGGAAAGAACACAAATTTTGAGGCTTCCCGGAGGCTTCCCCGTACGCGTCTTTCGTATACTTTATGGCCACGGCGAAGGAAACAATGTGTGAATCCAGGTCTGTTACATTTGCACAATGTAACTTTCGAAATTTCGCCGTCACGAGCAATCTATAAGACAACCCGTAACTGAAATATTTATTTATTTATTATTTTTATTATATTTTTTTTT